GGCAAGCGGCAGTGCTTAATACATCGCTAGGCCATCTCATCGTAGAGGCCACCTTTGCATTAAGTCACCTCAAACGAAGCTAAAAATTGAAGAGAAATGCAGGGTACATCCTTCAGGGTTTGGTCAACGTCGAGAGCTCTGTCCTTAATCTTCTAGGTGAGTGGAACTAACTTTAGTACTGGAGCATGCTCGGGCTAATGGAAATGGCTGATATCAGCTCAAACTACTTGACATGTCCTTGTTATAATGAAATATTACACATTGACTGTAGCGCCGTATGTTAGCATGTGTGAAGAAAAGGCAGAGAAAATTTCAGACTACTTACTGAATCGCGCTGCCATATGCAATGAAGCGTTCCGCTCGGTTAAGCCTCTCATTATCGAATATCGATTGTTCTTCAGGTCCACAACAGTAATAACCCTGAAGAACAATTGGTCACTGAAGAATTTTTGAGCACATAATTTCTTTGCACTGAATTCAGTTATTAACATTTCCAGTAAAAACTTTCTCTATATTCGTTGAAACAAGTCGGAAAACAGCCGCCTTCAATTGTAATGAGTAGTTCAATGGGTAAGGGCAATTCTAGAATTTCCATTATAGTATTTATATCTTCCTAGAACAATTTGCGATCGGCAAATCAGCTCACGAATGTATGAAGCTAACTTGCGCAGCTATTGATTAACTCTAAAGAAAAAAAACACATCTATTGAAATAAGAAGACAGATTAGTGTGATTTGGAAGTTTTATTACAAGAGCAAGTTTTGTGCTGATAAATTACCTGATCGGCTCCCTCAAATGACGGACAACACTTATAGGCACATTCCAAAACATTCCCACTTGGCGAGGGTGGGCATATCACCTAAATTCAAATGAGATATAACTTATAGAATAACCTCATCTTGTGATAAGCTGGATGTACTAGTTGATCCAACTCGTCCTTCCGTTGTACCAGCTCAATCATTTGTATAGCTAATCATAAGACCAATCAACTTAGCATGTGTAAGACTCTGTCATAGTCTTTGATGCTCTCTATGAAATGCTCTTGATTCCATTTGCATGAGTGACATGAGGAGTGCTTTCCACAAAGGACTCCTTATCAACACTTCTTTGACAACCATGAGTAGTTCGCCATGTTTTATCATGAAGAATAGTTGTAACAACGGGTAGCCTGTCAAGTGGGACCAGTAAACGCAAGATTTTCGTTGAGCACAGTCATAAACCACCTCGAGGTCATTCCCATGAGTGTAGCTGCGGTTTATCAACATCACAAATTTTACATTGATAGCTACTACATCAATAGAGGTCAAATCACATAGGAGTAAATACCAGCGGATCAATAATTTGAAAAATATTATAATAATCAATCCATAATCAAAGTACTAATACTTTAGCAATCACATTTAGCAGAAAATTTTCCAACTTATACATAATTAAAAGTCAAAAAGCTTGGCCACGTGCTTATTTCTTCAAATCTACGATCCTAGATTTTTCAAACACGTAGTTCAGAAACGTTTATCAAGGAAACGATTTAAGGAGGCTTAAGTCACTGGCCTAAAGTAGACGAACGAACAAACTTAGAGTGCTAGCGCAAATCATCGTCGAATGACATTGTAATGTTTGATTTATACCGATTGATACTTCATTCAAGGACAGTCCGTGACAATTATCATGTCAAATTGAATTCTTGGCAGTAAACACTTTTATATAGTAGCAGAAGATACTCAAATTTCGTAGAGACTCGAAAAGCATGCATGCTACTATCAGCACTTTTTTAAAATTACGGTGAATTCCTCTGTAAGACTAGAGGTAGTGACAGGTGTCGACCTTACAAAACCTCGCTCGACTCATTTGATAATTGACAAAATGTTTGTTACACAGGATGAACACCAACGACATCAATTTGTTGAAGTGAACACAGGAACGGATTCTGTGCACTCCGCTCAAATGGTTTCAAATAGTTCTAGCATTTTAAGAAATGGCCACAGTCATATGGCCACCACATAAGCTATTGGTGAGCAGTTGCTGAACAAGAAAAAGTCAGAGTGCAATATAACAAACAACACCGTATGCCCAATACGGTGGACGAACTGACACAAAAATTAGCAAGAAGACAGTTCAGATTTTATCAGTTTTGAGTAGCTTATAGGTGCTTTGTGGATGTGACTATGACTTCGCTCGGGAAAAGACGTAAACGTAATCTCTGTATAATGTCAGCCTCATTATGACGCTTCCCACTCTCTGATTTGATGAGGTTTCGATGACGGTTAAGACGCTGGTAGCTAAGTAAACAACATTGCCGTCACACTATGTCTTCCAATTATCGAACACACTTGGCAGATATTGGAATTCTGCTATGGACAATAGATATAGCCGCATAATGAAAAAGCATAACCGCGCTGGAAAGCTGAGAACTGAAAGGAAATGAAGCATTTTTATAATGAAATGGAGATTTGTCTCTTACAGAGGGGTAATATACTGAAGGTAAACGGTTTAACTGGGGCCTTCCCAAAAAGTACACTAATGTTACAACATGACATGACATACTGTACCGATTTTGATGTACGTTGTCTCCTCAAGGCACGTTGGATACATTGTTACTTATGCGCAGTGGAATTAAGCTTACTTTGCGCAAAGAAATCCGTCCTGGCTTTGCTTCTCGTGACTTATTTCCAAGAACGGTCGCAGCCTTGATTTCATGAAAAACTGATCGTGAATTTGTGAGATATAATTTCGCTTTCCCTATACGTATAGTTATTTATAAGAGTGCATGTGGCGCAGTGGTTAAAGGTGCTCTGTGTTGCACACGTGGTCGATGGTTCGATCTTGTGTCTATGGCCCATTAAGCCTTCCGTCCTTCCGGGGTCGATAAATTGATACCAGACTTGTCTGGGAGGATAACAGCATTGACTTGATGCATCGGTGGGCCACCGCCAGTCATTGTGCAGGCCAAACATGCATTCACATCAAGCGGTGCTAAAATTCAGGTCGAATGCATGGTGCATCCTTCAAGAGATTGATCAACGCCGATAGCTTTATCCTTTATCCTTATAGCTTTAGATGTGAAATATACATGGATGCGTACGCAGTACAGGAGCAAATGGGATTTGCGTCTGTTGTCTTTGAAGTACTTAAGAGTAAGACAAGTTAGAAATCGATAGTGTTGATGACAGTTTACTACACAAGGTGGAGAATGTGAGTTACTTTATTGTTTTGAAATTGTGCACAATCCGAACCAACAGAAGCTGCAACATTCAGTGTAAAAGTCCAGTTTATCACAGTGAGCAATCCTATCAAATCTTATGAAACATAATGCATTTTTATCGCTTAACTTCATTCCAACTGTTTTGGAGGAAACAATCCTTTTCTCATATCAGTAAACACTTAAAGAACTCCTCTTTCGCAAGTGATTCTCAATGTCAGTGTTTCACTGATGTGGATGTCTGAACCATTATCACAAGCGAGTAAATATCATAATGGCCAAATTCAAAAAAGAAAAAGGACTAGGCTTATTCTTTCAGGTAACACAATATATATGAACAGATTATAAGAGCTAGAAGAATAGGTAGCTAAATATGAGTTTACCTTAGCAGTGATTATAGGTAAGAGAGACAGAATCGCGCAAAAACACTCGTAACGATGCTGCATGAATGACGTTAAAAGATTTCTGTCGTGAGAAAGCACAAGAGACGGCACGAGAACTAGTTCAACAATCAGCGCGAATGCGCACATGATGATGACTCAACGGAACCGACAAGGAGCAGTCATACAAACGGTCCAATCCCAAAGACAGGCGCTTTTCAGATGAAATCGGTCAAAATGCCATAATAGAGCATTTAATAAAGACGTGGAATGAAGTGTTATAAAAGCTCTTATAGGCGAAGGAGAAATTCATGACGTCATTCCTTGCCACGTTTTCACTGAGTAGTGAATATGCCTGGTAATCGTTTTTTGAGCCACGCATGTCAGTGGTCTATTAAAGAGGGCTGACATATAGTAATATGTCATATCTTTCCTTTCGAGTGTTTTCTTAAGACCACAGCTCTAATATTAATATGCCTCTTAACAGACCACTGACATGAGTGGCTCAAAAAATGATTACCAGGCGTATTGAAATTTGAGCTGTGGTCTTAATAAAACACTCGAAACGAAAGATATGAGTAGTGAATGTTGTCAAATACATTATCCTTGCTTTCACAGTGATTCAATGACACATATCGCTGTCTTCCAGAAGATTTCAAAAGTCACAATACAAGAAATTCCTCTCTATCATAAGAAGGACAATAATGAACTAAAAGATACAGAGTGCCGAAGAAAACAACCATTCCTTACCTAACTTTTAAAAAAGAACATAAAATGGGCTCCAAGAAAAGCCTAACGTAAATGTTGATGAGATCGCTGATTTTGGAGGCTTGTTAAAGCTAAAGAATTGAATTATGCTGCATTACATGTGAAAAGGATTCATTTTAGTAGTGCAGAGAGCAGCTCAAATGTGAAGTTCTAGCAAATGTTCTTACGATGATTTTTTTCACAGTCATCGCATCAAGACAGTCCGATTAGGAAGGGGTTAATCTTCGTATAATTGCCGGTAGTGGCTCAGGAAAGAGAAGCATTCTGGAGACTGCCGGACAAGGGCGGATCGTTTGAACGTAATTGAAGTTCTGTATAAGGCCGCTACTTCATTCTCTGCTCGAATCCACTCAATTTGTCTCGATACGGCGCCTGCGAACTCCAATATCTTAAAAAGAGCATCCACCGTGATCGGTCGACTTCAATCATCGTGGCTGCGATGAAGGTGAAGCTATCATAAGAAAGACTTATGAAGCTCTCGTATTGGCTCATCATTGAAGGCACTACATTGGTTATCCATACCGAGACTCAATGAAAGACAAAATTAATCAATGATGTTCTTTCTTGAGATTTCTAGTGCTTTTTCTGCGTTTTTCCGCAGTGTTATGATGTTTTATATAAATTCAAGAGAATTGAATCGTGAGCAAAAATACGACCTCAGGCGGTAGTGGAACTCGCGTTTCATCCATACCTGGAACGCGTGCTACCGCTACACCACCGAGGTACACTCGCCCCTATCGTAGAGATATTGAAGATTGAGTAGTGGCACGAATGTGCCTCGATGGTGTAGTGATAGCACGCGCCCCCGGTATGAATGAAACGGAGGTTCGACGCCCGTCTGAGATCGCATTTTTGTTCACCACTTAATTCTCTTAGACATTCTTTCTCATTATTGAATGACCCGTCATCACAACTGCTCGAGAGTCATAGGACTTCTTGGCTATATTTACTCCCATTTTTCATTCGGAAAGGTCTTCCAACAATTTCACTCCCGCCTGATGATAAATATTTTGCATACCATTCTATATTTTCAGTAGTCAAACACTTCATGTATTACAAACTGCCTGATAATCATTTTTTTGAACCATACATGCCGTCTTCTATGAAGCAACTAATAGAGCCGTTACACGTGTTTAGGCCTTAACAGTCTCGTCAGTAGAGCAGTACCCTTCGCTTTTATAAAGCCAATGCTCTCGAGGTGACCCAATCCCTGTATAGATTTGGTAAAGAAGAACTTTTCCACAATCCATTGTGTATAATTATCACTGAATGGACACTGTTTCATGCTCGATTGCTCTTGGCTGGTATCGTTGATTATATCATATCTTTCGGGCTCCCTACATCGCTCGAAAATAATTATCAGGCATATTGAAATTTGAGCGTGGTCTTGATAAAACAGTCGAAAAGAAAATATGATAAATTAACCTCATGTATTGTTTCGGGCCCTGCTTGAGCATTTCGCCTATGCTTTAGAATGCTGGTTGAACCGATTTTTGTCACCTTGAAGAAAGCAGAGCTGAACGCTCTCGGTTGATTGCATGAGTGTTAGGGGAAGACCGAATCAAAGCTGTGCTTACAACAAATAGCGCCATTCACCTCTTCGTTATCCTATATATCGCAAGAATGATATTATTGAAATTGGTAAATACAAACGGAAAATCCGAATTTTTGTGTTTTTCGCTCCCTGAATTTACAGGTTCTGCATTAACGTTATATACAAGGGATACTTTTGAGATATAAGCAATCCTGGATTTTCATGATGTGATGATGTGATGGAGGCGTCGTGGCCGAGTAGTAGTGATGCTAATCGCGGTGCGCGCTGATAAGTCCCATCACCTCCACAACACTCTCCGGCATTCACCAACGAAAGCTCTATGAATACCATAGCCAGGCTTTCTCCGAGATTGCGAAGAGACGTACTCAATCAGTATTCTACGACGTTCAAGAAGAAGATGAAAAACGAATTGAATGCTAGAAGTAGTGAGATCCGCACACTGAAGAAAAGAAACACGGTGAAGACAGGTCAATACAATGTCAAAAACTGTCAAGATCATGTGATAGTCTGAGATTTTTGTACCCGAAAAATCCAGGGAATGGAGTCACTGCTACTATACTGAATGAACTTACAGCTTCACTGTGATGTAGTCATGCTCGTCCATGTTGATATAAGTTTGGTATACATGTGCAAGGACCACCCCCTACGTTGAACAAGTAAAAGCTAGTAAAAGATGGTTCTATATTTTTTTCAGCTACGTGAATCTTTTACGTTATTTTTAACACCAAACACAATGTGAATCATAGCCACAGAAATGGTGCGATACGAGCACAGCTTGAGATCCCGTGTGTTCATCTCGCGCAGTCAAATAGTCACTATGTCTTGACAGTGCAACCCTTGATCTATATTCCTCTCGGCCAAATCGCTGTGATTACAAACACCGCTTTAGCTTAATCGGTGTGCGATGCTAATTTATGTCGGTTAGGTCAATTCTGTGACGGAACATTGCTGGCAGTCACCGAATAGGTTGAAACACGCCTGAGGGAAAGACTGAACAGGCGCCTCGATTGCGTCGTACGAGTGCGCACTGTCTAGGGAAGACACAGCAGCTGTTTAAATCATCGGACAAAAATATCATTTTCCAAGATTTACTTGTATCTGGACATTCTTACAGTCAAACAAAGAATAGTTAGGCGAATGAGGCAGATAGGCTCATGGTACTGGTGTAGAGCTACAAATTAACACTCAATCTTTGAAAATTTTTCAAGTGGATTCCAGCGAGCTGCAAGTGAGTACACTACTTTCGAAGACAAAATTATAGAGCTCATGCTAGTGATACTGTATGAATTCTTCATACGGCTCCATTAGTCGACACTAGCAGGAACTCAAAATAGCAGACTACCAAAATCTTAGATGCAGCTGTGATTTTTAGAAATTTAGTAAACACATGATGACAAACTCTGTTCCGAAAAAGCTTTGACTTTTTTTGATACCGAGCTTTTTGACAAGACAGTCTATTTCTCTAGACTTTCAAAAGTCATTCGGTACCTTACATAATGGCGATTCCAATATTTTGCCTAGATTTTGAATAGGAATTCTAGGGCACTGTACCAGGAAAAACAAAAGTGTGTTTTACACTCGGTCATTTCAGTGCGCCCGCTAGAGGCCGTGATGGCCTTGTTTAATAGAACTTAACCGCATGAATTCAATCTTGAAACTAGACTTGGGTTTTGGAGAGTTGAAGGGTTTACTTGCAAAGCTGTAAAAAAAGACAAAACTACACGCTCACCCTCAGGGTCACTTTCGTGCATAAGGCATTTATATATTAATAAATAAATAAATATATTATATATAATATATAAGTATATATATCCCTTTGCGAACGACGAGGGTCATTATAACCCTCAGCCGGACGCGGCGCCCGGGCGGTTCTAAAGATTGGTACGAACTCCAATAGAAATTTGAGAATTAATAGAAATATCAAGAAGTAATAGAAACAACAAAAACAAATTTATTAGAAGTTCTCATTTCGATTTATTTTCGACTGAATCTTCAATTCATTTCAAGATCGATTCAGAGCTGCATAACGTTTCATCTCGAAGAAGACAATGTGTAGAAGTAGAATATGAAGAAACAAAGTTGATTCGATACATTACTGAATTTATGTGATCTTTCGAATAGTGTGAGAAATGGAACAAACAGTGAATTGTTTGTAGCCTAAATAACACTATTTCTTAACCAGCTTATACCACGAATAGCATAATCTCTTAACCAGTCTTTACCTCGAAATGCACAATATCTCAAGCACTTTATACCCCGTATGGCACTAATTTTTAACCATTCATAACCCCTAGTCACTTTTTTAAGCACTTTATACCCCGTATCTCCGTATAGCACTTTTTCTTAGCCACTTTATACCCCAGATTACACTATTTCTTAACCGGTTCGTACCCGAATAGCACAATTTCTCGACCAATCTATACATCGAAATGCACAATTTCTTACACACTTTATACCCCGTATGGCACTATTTCTTAACCACTTTTACTCCAAATAACACTATTTTTTAACATATCCCAAGTGACACTATTTCTTGACTAGTTTATACCCCGAATTGCACAAATTCTTATCCAGTTTATATCCCGAATAGCACAATTTCTTGAAAAATTATCCTCGTATGGCACTATTTCTTAACCACTTTATATCCCAAATAATACTATTTCCTAACCAGTTTCCGAATTGCACAATTTCTTGACCAGTTTATACTCCGAATAGCACAATTTCTTAATCAGTTTATACCCCGAATAGCTTAATTTCTCGAAAAAATTGTTTCTCGTATGGCACTATTATTTCTTAACCACTTTATATCCCAAATAACACTATTTCTAACCAGTTCCCGAATTGCACAATTTCTTAACAGTTATACTCCGATAGCTAATTTTAACCAGTTTATACCCCGAATAACTCAATTTCTCAAAAAAATTGTAAAAAATTGTTCCTCGTATGGCACTATTTCTTAACCACTTTATTCTTCTCATAACACTATTCCTTAACCACTTTGTACTCCAAATAACACTATTTCTTAACCACTTTATATTCCAAATGACACTATTTCTTAACCAGTTCCCGATTTGCACAATTTCATAACCAATATATACCCCGAATTGCACATTTTCTCAAACACTTTATACCCCGTATGGCACAACTTCTTAACCAGTTGATACCCCAGGTAGCATTATTTCGTAACCAGTATATACCTCAAGATTGCATGAGTTTACGTACAATATATCTAAAGTCTTGCAAGACATTCAATTCGTCCCGAGTGTTCTCTTAAGACCACGCTCAGATTTTAGTAAATCTCGTGATATTAGTTAAGCAAACATGTTATGTGTTCTTTTATAGTGCAAACTTATAGAGCCCCATACACGCGTCTCGACCTTGACAGTCTCATCACTTGTGCGGTATCATTCGTCTTTTGCCAATCCTCTTGTGATTCTCCAATTCCGTATACTGAGAGTAGGCGATGACGAACGTTTTGCACCGTCCACTAAGTGATATTATCACTGAATCGGCAGCGCTGTACACTCATTGCTCTTGGCTGGTATCGTTAATATATCATATCTTTCATTTTGTGTCTTCTTGAGGCCCCGCGCTCAAATTTTAACGTGCCACACTCGATACACTCGAAACAAGGTATGATAGATTTAACGATACCAGCAAAGAGCAAGCGAGTGTACAACACTGCCGATTCAGTGATAATTTTACTTAATGGACCGTAAAAAATGCTCGTCGTCGCCTACACTTGGTACAGGGGCTGGAGCACCCCGTGAGAACAGGCAGGAGATGAAGGGGATAACCCGACTGATGAGATTATCAAGGTCGAAACACGTGCGTGTCTCAAAAAACGATGATCTGGCATCTTGGAAAACATACCAAGACGACTACAGTGGTGAAACGGACAGACTATGATATGTCTGTATGGAAGAGCAAATAGTTAGAAAAACTAAAGACAAGCAAAACACTCCTCTAGGTATGCATAGGACGCAAAGACATAACGAGATTTTGAATAAATGCCACGAATCCCGCGAAGAGATCTAAACCATCTGTGTAAAGAAACTTCAAAAACACAACATAAACTTTAAGAATTTAAAAATAACTCGCAGAAGTTAATTTTACGTTCTGAATGAGGCACATTACAATTCACATAGGACTCTGCGGCTCCTTTTCAG